CTGAAATTCACCAGCAATCTTTATTGTTCGTGTACTGAGCATGTTTACTATCCAGTCAATCAGCGCCGGTTCAACATTATGTCTACTTAGGGCACCTTTTATGCTGGAGAAATTTGTTCTGTCAAAATCACCTTCTATGTCTATGAAGGAGCCTAGACATATTGCTTTGTTTTGGATGGCCTCTTCAATCTTTGTTATTACCTGGTGAAGTGCCGATTCTGTTGATTTATATCCATAGCTATAGTTATAGGCGTGTTGTTTTTCGTGTAGCGGTAAGTTAATTAGCGCCGACCCTCTCAACTCCCGTTCACACATCCTCCCCATCGTCTTTAGGAGAAAGGATGTGAGGCTAATAGTTCTGTAGTATTTAGGGTCTGTATAGTCGTTCTTACCTGGTTTGGGTATGAACGTCACTTTTACTTCCCTAAACCATCCGCTAGGAACATATTTGAGAGCCAGACATGCTCTCATTATGGCAACAAGTCTGACTATTAGGACTTTACCCCCCCCCCTGAAGAAGTGCCGGGAATAAGCCGTCAGGTCCTGCTGCCTTATAGGGTTGGAAGCTATGAATGGCCCAATGGATTTTGCCCATCGTCACCACTCTTTGTGCTAATTCCCAGTCTTCTTTTGCTGGTATCAGTGCATGTTCATGCCGGTTCACCCTTTCAGCTACACAGCAACCTGGGAAGTGAGTACCAATTAGGATGCGTTGGGCTTCATCCGGCGATGTTGAGTAGCTTCCGTTGGGTTTCTTTAAAGAGATAGATTCCGGCGTGTTCTATTTAGCTAGGATTTTCCTCATAGGATTTGCTTGTTCGCAGGTTTCTATGCTACCACAGAATTTGATTCGATACCCGATACATTTTTTGTATTCAGACTTAGCTTTCTTATATAGAAGCCAGTCTTCATCCTTTGAGGTATTCATTGCCCTATTTAGGGCTTTTCTTACCTTCTTACGTTTCCTGTCTAGTTCTTTACCCCTCCACTGTTGCTTTTGCTCAGCATGTTTTGGTGGAGTGATTACTGACATGATTCATGGTAGCTGTCGATGATGGCTTTAGTGACAGCTGCTTCCTGTTCTTCTGGGAGCGATTGATCTGCTATGGCATTAGTTACCCCAACACCCGCGAGCGAAGACGTCAGCCCATTCAGGTATTTTGTTTTATCCGTTTTGCGGGGATTTCTCCATGGTGGTATAGCGGGGATATCGACCTGTAGTACGCAGCAGATCCATCTGTGGTCTGAGCATGAGGTCTCTTTCGACACATGCCATCCCGTTATTAGCTTAGCTGCTCTTTCTGTTGCAAATGTGAGGTCGATTATTGTGCGACAGCGTTTATTTATGAAGGTTGGTTCAGAACCAGTGTATAAAATGGTTAGGTTAGTGCTAAATAAATATTCAACTAAAACCTTACCTTGTTCATTAGGTTTTTCCATTCCCCAAAGGGGATGATGCGCGTTGGAGTCCATCCCGATCACAACCTCTAGTCCGGCACTCTCACAGAAATTCACCAGCCTGACGAGGTCGTGAGGGGGAGGGGTGTCTTCTTCAGGCATGTAGACCGAGGCGGCGACTAACCTTTCCTCCTGTGTGTTTTGTAATGCTACGGCATACATGTCTCTGGAACAGAAATCTGTTAGTGGTTTTGCACAGATATCTTTAGTAGTATAAATACACGCTCTAGGCTTGTCGTGCTCAGAGTTGTAGAATAACTTACCTCTTAGGTTATTTAGGCCTTTAATCTTTTAATTTTAGCAGCCCCAACCCATGGCTCTTGGATTAGGGCTATGGCCGTTCTTTGTGCCTCCAACCCCTTGAGTAATTGAGCCGACGCCGTTTCACTGTGGTGGAGGTTGGCCTGCACTAGGCTAGTTTTGGACGAAGGGCACGCCATCATCGATCGCGTCATCCCCGTCCCCGCCTAAAAATAAGCCTGCCAGCAGATCTCGGGTTTCATCGTCAGCCACCGAGTCGGAATTGTACGGCAAAATGCAGTCCTCTTCGTCGCTCAGTGAGCTGTCGCTGAGCTCAGTTTCCACTGGGGGCTTCGGCTCGGTTGTGCAGGCAGTTTTTTCACTGGACTTGACATCCAGTGATTTCGATGTTCCGGCAACCATGGCCACGGTATCCATGACTTCCGGGTTCTTTTCTGCCTCTTTGCTAGGGGAGTCAACGAATTTTCCTCCACGACCCTGGAATTTAACGTATACCACCCCACATACACATGCGAGACGGCGCCCGGCTTTCATCAGGGTCGAAATATGATCCTCCGGCACCGAAACAACGAGGAACCACCCGTCCGTCTGTTTGTCCGCTTTGAGTAGTAGCCAGTCCTTGATGTTAACCCAGCGGTTCTGGTACGCAAACACACGACCAATGTCGCGTGAGTCCTTCCAGGCACCTTGGGCATCAGGAATAAGGATACCACATTTGATTCTTTATGGTATCTCTGACTGTTTCTTAATTGTCAGCAAGGTGTTGGATTTGAGGTCGAGGGTATTAATATTCCCCTTCAACCAGTCCAGAGCCTTCTGGTCATCGCACCACAGCTTTAGGACACCCTCGGTGTAAACGGGTTTGCCTTTAAAAACCGGGCCCGACGCATCAGGTCCTGGTTACTCCGGGCCTCGCTGATCATCTTCCTGTGTATGGCCACGAGGATGTCATCAGCTACCTCCTTTGTTTTGTCACCTGAACGCGCACACGTTAAGGCCACACCCAAATCTGCTTCAGCAGCAGAAGCGTAGCTTGTTCCTGCAGCCTTTGTTTGCTGTTCAAGTCGCACTTTTTTGTGCTCTCCTCTCGGCGAGGTGGACTCTTACAGCAATCTTTTGGCTGCTCTTTCCTTCTTTCCAGGACGCTTGGCTGCTCTCTGGTTCCAGGCGGATTTCATAGAGCTGGTTCTGGCGGCCGTGCCTACTGCTTGGGCTGGATTTTCATCCCTCCCAGTTTCAGCACGACTACTGGTTCCAGCTCCAAGCACCGCAGTAGCAGTAGCTTGCCCAACTCCCTGACTCTTGCTCTTGGAAACAGCAAGCGCGGCTCTTTCTCTGCGGCCTTTTTCTCGCTACTCCTTATTCTTCTTTTTGACCTTTGCGCTACTGCCTGCTGGGGTAGACTCACTTGATGGTGCGTCGGGTCGGCAAGTCACCATTTTGGGTGCCTTGCGCTTCCCCTTATGGCTCACCACTTACCAGGCAGCGGAGAAAAGGTCTTCGGTCCTTCGGTCAAAGGGCTCCGCAGGAGTTTTGCTACTCGCGGCCCCTTGCTCATTTTTCTCGTCCAGTTCCTTGGATTTGGAAGTGGATTTAGAGACATCCCGCGCGGAAATTGCCGCCTTGGTGGGGCCACCTACGCTGGGTGGTACAGTCAGTGGAACGGCAGGTTTAACGGCGGTTCCTTCTGGTTTATCGGTGTCTAAGGTAAACACCTCTGACACTTCTCCTTCTCTACTGATGGGCCCTGTGTTGTCCATAGTTTTGACATGTGTAATAATTCGTCCCCCCGGTTTCCCACCCTCCATGGAGCCCGCACCTTTGGGAACGCCCTACTTTATTAAAAGAATTTCAGGCGTTAGGATTACCGGGGTAATATAGGGACGCAGAGTTGGCTCACAGCGCGACATCGGGAGCTCGATCCAGCTGGCAGATAAGGCTGAAAAGGCCCATCCCTACTGCCCGAGTTGACTTTCACTTATCCCGTCAGCATGGCCTTTAACACCACCTAGCCCTTTTCAGGGAGACTAGGCAGCCCCCACATCCCTCGCCTGCGACCCTCTGACGGGACGCTTGGCATTTTCCTTATCTGTGGCTAGCAGATAAGGCCACCGTTTAGATTGAAATCCGGACCAAAGAGGGCGTGTTGCCTCTCGACACTATATACCCCAGTGATGATCGGCTAAACCCTCCAGGACTCTTTCATCCCCGCATACGGCGCTTAAGTGCGCAGGTCCTAGCGCAGGTGGGTGTGTTAGTTCACCGGATACACCCACTCTCTCCGGTGGAACCGTTCTCTCGTCTTTTCCGGGCTTGGGACCGGCAGCAACAAAAAGCATTGACAAAGTTAGTTGCTTGTGCTTCCTGTTGCAGGCAGAGTTCTTCTTCATATATTATGATTAGCATGAATAGCGCATTGAATCGATCCAATCCAAATTTTTGCGTTTATTAAGCTTACGTACTGGCAACAATAGAAGACTTCGGTCATATGCAGAGAGGCTTAAAGAGTTTAACATGATAGCACTTCACCTCCGTCGCGACGAATTGGGCCTAGTCAACCTACACAGAATAATACACTCGGAACTGGATAGCCCCGAGGCCTTGGAACTGTTAAATTTTAACATAAAACACAACCCACGTAGACCTATGAAAAAAATATTTGACATAACCCTATCGCGAAATAATATCTCTCGAAATCAACCCCTATCAAGGTTATGTCGACTTTATGAATTACAGCGGTTGAAAACTATATAAAATGTTTACCGGCAGTTCCTTCTCATTATTGTAGGAAGGATAGTACTCGAACATACCTTCCATCAGAATACAAAAACTTAGCCAATTTATATAGAAAGTACAAAGAATATCGTAGCTTTCAAGGACTGACGTATGTTTCGGAGAGCATTTTCCGAAAAGTTTTCAATGAAAACTTTAATATAGCATTCCATATCCCGAAAAAAGACAAATGCCTGAAATGTTGTCAGTACGAAAATAAAACTAATCCTACACCAGAACAACAACGAGCTCACGAAGAACACCTTATTGAGAAAGACCACACATACAATCGCTACAAGATGCACAAAACTATTCATTTAAAAGACTCAGCATCCATTTGCATAAGTTTTGACTTACAAAAAGTGTTGAACACACCGTATGGTGATAGCATGTTATTATTTTATACACGCAAGCTGGCCGTTTACAATGCTGTTATTTACGAAAATGGTACGCGCAATGTTTATTGCTATTATTGGGACGAAAGCCAGGGTAACCGCGGTGCTAATGAGATGGCTACAATATTAAGCAAATACATAACGAAGCTTGATGAACGCGAAAATATAAGACGACTTCTTCTTTATTGTGACTGCTGTCCCGGTCAAAATCGGAACAAGATAGTTCTTGCAATGCTGAACGAGACTCTGCAACGATGCAGAACTCTTGAATCTATTCAAATAAATTTCTTACTTACCGGCCATACCTACATGACAGTTGATTCGGTACATGCGACTATTGAAAATCAGGTTAAAAATACCACTATCTGGGCTCCTTCCCAGTGGTATACGGTATTCCAAACAGCAAGACAAAATCCAAAGCCCTTTCATGTTGAGCAGTTAACTCACAAAGATTTTAAGAGATGGGACCTACTCGCAGATAAGTATTTCGTGGGAAATCTTGTGGGTAAAATAAGTAGAATACGAGTCGCAACTTTCAAAAAGAATCGTATATCAGCAACGGTTAAATGCTCTATGAATCCGGAAGCACCCGTGTCCTGTATTGAAATCGCCTCCAAAACAAAGTTTCTTGACTTACCGAACTGCTATCTTACACCCCTACCAATTACTGAAAATAAACACAAAGATTTATTAAAGCTTTGCTCAGACCAAGTTATACCCCAACAATTTCAGGCAGAGTACTTAGCTTTAACTTACAACAAAAAGGTGAAAGATACTTTACCCGATACTGACATCGAAGATAATGTTGACCAGTAGTTAACTTATCTGTAACACTACTTTGTGATGACTGTGCCTTAATTTTCTTCAGGTTATTGCGTACCAAAGACCTACTTTAATTAATCTTCAGGAGATCCCTTATAAAGACTGATTAAGTAAATAATTGATTTTATTAATGTTGATCTCAATTAGCTGATAAGTTAGTCATTGTAAACAACAGACCTGTTGTTATGAGGTCGAGTTGTTTGAAAAACACTAAGTATTAATAGTTCCTTTAACCTTCCTACTCTTTATAATTATTTTTACCAAAGAAACTTTCATAATAGTAGCTATATAAGTACATGGTGAATGACTGAACAGTCACTACGCATGACTATGCACGGTGCTTAGTTGTAAGTAAAAATAAATATTTCAAGATAATTTTATTATTGTTGCCTTGAAGGCTGTTATTATTTTGTCAAAGATTATGGGTATGTAGTGGTATGTTGTACTAAGTTTTAGAAATTCTTTATTTTTGCAAGTACATTATATTATTGCATTAAGTTACTTCTTTTTTTTTGTTACTATGTAGATACTAAGTACATCGTAAAAACTACTTTTTCTTTTATAATTATTAATAAATAGTGAAAAAACGTATTTTTGTTTTCATTAAATCACAACAAGAAGTATTAGGTCACAGCATACATATTATATAATATAATAATAATAATTGATTTATTTTCTCACCACAATATTACAGAATTATTGTACATAATATTAGAATATTACACCTTAATGTTATACTGTGGGAGACTGGTGCCTAAGCTAGGCTTTACGCCTGTATTTCAGGCCACCAGGTCTCCGCCCTATGGTTGTAATTACAATCTTTTTACCATGAACATGTACCATATTTGTAATTTACATAATGTACCTTTTTTTACTTAACTTAATATATAGAGCATTATTAATCTAGTACGAACGATGATGATGATGGGTATAAGCAGTTACTTAAGTCTTACTTTAAAGGAGAATCATGTCGTTTGTTAATCTATTATTTTTAAGACGTGACGTTTAATCCACATTACTATTTGCCCATATAATGCCGTATGTTGGATGTTCTCGTTTTCCTCTTGGTATAGAAATCTTGATATGTGGAAGTACCACGTTACCCTTTTTTCAACCCACTTACAGTGTCGCTAATGTCTGACATCCTCACGATGTTTTTGCTATTCACCTTTTCTTGTGCTCCATTACCTTTTGGCATAATGATGTGAATCGTCACATATCCTACTTTACCCATTTAGGTTATTCTACAGCCATGTGACTTATGCCCTATTACCTCTTGGTATACGGATATCAAATGTAGCTCAGTCTTCTAAACTCTTCGTTTCTTTCTGTATAGATGTAACTTATGCCAAATTACCTCATATTTAAAATAGGACCAATTTGATCTAAGAGACATAAAATCAGATAAAACAACGTCGAATCAAATAAATAAAAAAGTCAATTAATGCTTTTATTTTTGTTGATTTTAGAGCTGTTTATATTTTTACGTTATGACAATAAATAAAAAAGTTATGCCCATTTTTCTGCAATTTCAAACTTTAAACTGCTTTCCTGAACAATTTGGTTTTTGTTGCTTATACCCTATTACCTTTTAACCGTCGATATACAAAGTTCAACTTTGGTTTAACAATATCCAAGTTACATTCTATTACTAAAGGTGGTAAGTATGGTGTCTAATGGTCAGACCAGTAGACATCATACTTAACATAAACATTTAAAATAGACGATACAGCGGATTTCGTCGCCACACAGTGATCAAGCCACCTTCTCGACCCGTGGCTCTCATAAAAAGTTTTAGGAATGTATTCATTCATTACACGTATATAAGACAAAAACAATAGATTAGAAGCCCCGTACCCGAACTTTCATTTTGTATTTTATTGCTATTATTTCGGAGAATTCCAAGTAAGACGTCATTATATTTCACTAACTACGACTTACGGAGTTTCATTTTTGAAATTCAAGTTATAAAGTATAACAAATATGTATTATCAATACTTCGAATGGAAATAATTTAAGTTAATGAAAGGTATCCTTAACATAAGAAGGCGACCTTGGATTGCTTAACATTGAATAAAGAACAAGTAAAATTTTGGAGCATCGCCTTTGACGTATAAGTAGCCATCAGTTTTGAACTATAGGAATATTTGAAATTTTTAAAAAGCACTTCAACTTGTGTAGAAGATTTTGTGATAGATCCAAAGAATGAAGGATAGAACTAATGTAACCTTGGTTTTGAAAGGTAGGAAATTTCTTTGACTATCAAGGGAACACAAGGTTGCAACAACTTAATGACTTACTTCAGAGATTTGCAATTTCCAGGTAATTGTATTTTTCGTATCCAAGCCAAGAATATTTACGGCACTACAATATGGAATCAAAGGTCCATTCTGGTATGCTGTAAAATCAATACACATTCATAAGTGTATTAGCTTCTTTTTTAAAGCAACCACGACTCTTAATTTATTTATGAATTATCATACAGATATATTATGAGTTCATGTTGTAAGACTTTGTAATCATTGTTAAGAAGCCTTTGTAAATATTTGCACCCCTTTACAAATTAAGTTAGTACTGTAAAACAAAAAAAAACCCTAATTTTATCTTTGCCATAAAAAAAGATTGCTGTTGTTGAGATGGCGACGATGTCTATTTTAAACACAATAGAACTGGTCGTTAGACTTTTTTTGGGGTTTTGCGCTTTTTATAAACATAATTATTTTTAAGCACGTAAAAATAATTGTTATTTGGGATATTTTATGAAAGAACTTAGTTACACATTTACTTTACTCGGTGACTGTTTCTTTTTGACGGGAGGATTTTTCGAAGTTTAATCTCAACCACCAAACAATTGGCTTTGTCATTTACTATACTAATGATTAATTTATGCATAACATCGTAATGAGAATACCTGTATTCTAATACTTAGTGTCTAAAGCCAATCCTTAACGAAAATTATGTTTTTTTAGAATGAAGGTAACAAACAAAAGAGTGAATGATGTGACCTGTAGAAAGTTACAAATTAGGTAAAGTAAGCGGATGATACCACACCACCAAAATTTGTAAATGTCTATACGCCATGTCATCCACTTTTTTGTTTTTTACCTAACTACCCTTGATCTAGAAAAAAAAGCAAATGTGTTTTCATCCCTTAAGACTGAGATGATACGTTACCAGTGAAAATGGTCTCAGAAACTCATCAGTCATTATACAAAACACAGCATAATGCTTCTATTTCACCCTGGTATTCTACGCTGATTCAAATACTACCTATACTAGGTGTACCCTGCTGTGTGACGGACGAGGTTTGTTTGACTTCGATCGACTTATAGCGGAAAAATCTACCTAACATCCCTGAACGTCAATATAACAGACTTTGTGATAAAGACACCGCGCGCATTAACACACCTATAAACTTCACACACACACACACACACATTTCAAATAATGCATTTCATCTAGCGTATACTTGTAATATTATACTCATCATCGTCATGATCATCATTACAGCCCTTCACAAGTCCACTGCTGAACATAGGCCTCCCTCAAGGTATGCCACAAAGCACGGTCCTGAGCCACCTGCATCCATCGACTTCCTGCATGTCTTACCAGGTCGTCACTCCATCTAGTGGGGATTGCCCTACACTTCGCCTACCGGTACGAGGCTGCCACTCGAGAAACTTTTTTCCCCAACGCTTGTCAGTTCTTCGAGCTATATGGCCGGCCCATTGCCACTTCAGCTTACTAATCCGTTGGGCTATGTCGGTCACTCTGGTTCTACTGCGGATATCCTCATTCCTAAGTTTATCACGCAGAGAAACTCCGAGCATAGCCCTCTCCATAGCTCGCTGAGCGACTTTGAGCGTCCTCATACGGCCAACAGTGAAGGACCAAGTCTCGGTTCCGTAGGTCATCACTGGCAACACGCACTGGTTGTACAGCTTAGTTTTCAGGTTTTGAGGTATACCTGATGAGAAGATGTGTCGTAATTTCCCAAACGCTGCCCAGCCGAGCTGAATCCGTCGATTGAACTCTCGGTCGAAGTTGGACTTACCTCTCGTTAATTATACTCGTTAATTTATTATCATTTATTTAATCACTTTTTTGTTTAGATCTTAAACAATGGAATTAAAAAGCCGTTTAAAAGTTTGATATCTGACTATCGTTGAGTCTACTTACGTTATTGTTGTGCGGCAAAATGCATATTGCAAATTCTACCTTAGTGTCGTATGATAACAGGATTGAGGTTTAATAGCAGTGCATGTGTTAAGGACTAATGCCTGCATTCACAGACATTACTCTCGTAAGTGTAGAGGCGACGCTATTATAAGTCAGATTCTTTTCAGTGCGTTCAGTAAGGCAAGCAATTCATTACATATACAATAAGGACCACAGTTGGTTTAATCAAAGTTGTCATTAACATTAATTGGATTCTCTCTCCACAACCCAGTTTAAAAATAGCGAATTTATATACTCTTTGTCCGTACTCATACGATAACTTTTGAAAATCTAAAGCGACTTTAAATCTCATGGGAACTATGATAATAAAGGGTTTTGAAAGTTAATTGTCACTTTCCTTGTTCTTGATAAGTTTATTCTCTCGATACCATTATAATATTCTTCTTCACTACTGTAAAAAACTGCAATTTTGTGATTAAAAATGATTTATGATGGCATTATGTACATATCCGGAACAAGACAAATCGGGCAATATAATGTTTCCTTTTAATATCCCCTGATGTTGCAGTTGTTCATGATTTGCCTCTTTTCTATATATTAAAAAACACTTCTATATTTGTGATCGGTCCTTTTAAATATTGCTACGTAGTTGTTGCGCAATTTGACAACTTTGGTAAATGTGGCAGGGGTCGGGGAACAAAGAAATAATTTTATCTAATTTTATATAGAAGACTAATTTTGTCGTGACTTACTTAGAAATTTACATGTTTTTTGTGATATCATAATAATTCACATTTCACAATTATAATCCACAA